GCGACGGATTTATTATGATTAAAAAGCCACCACACGTTCTGGATGTTAACTAATAACGAGCGATGATGAAATAAGACCGTTTTATTCATTATGATTTATTTATCTTCAATCATCTTATATACGCAGGTAAAAAAATTATTCAAAATATACAGAAATTTAACTTGGTTACATTAAAACAATATTTAATTATTCGTGCATTTTATGTTCTTTGAGCAAAATTTGCAGTTTTATCCATACAGTATCTTTTACATTGACACATTATAAACACTTGCTACTTCCAGATGTTAACATGGATACTGAGCGAAGTGTTAATAAAGTTGAGGATGCGTTCTGAATGTTAATAAAGTTACTAGAAGTTGTAAATTTATTACGAGCGTAACGTCGATTAAGAAGACTTTACTTATTTCCTAACTAATAGAACCTGATGGATTAATGCAAAACAGCTAAAACATTTCTAGGAGCTGCACGTCCCCTATCAACATTAGGCACCCTAACTAAAACAATCGAACCAATTTAAACTGCAAAAAATTACCCTAAATTGAGAAAACTCTCCGAGAATAATCAGAACAATTCTTAATGTTTTTGAAAATTTTAATCACTAAAATGTCTTAGGATTTTAGGCTTTATCAGAGGTATTAATTTACATCTGATATGGAGAGTGCCAATGGCTCATGGCACGAAGGTTGAGAAAAGCGAAATCCTACTCGGGTGTAATATACAGTATTACACCCGAGTAGTACCTCGATTTTCGTTGACTTCGGCTATCGTCGGTTTCGGATTTCGCCGATTGTTTTAGGACAGATATATTATCGACGAAAACCGAAGTATCGCTGCACAGTGTACATCCATGTATCTAGCATCAATATACATTATTTCTATAGCTTCTGTTGTCTTATCCTAAAACCCTCCAGTTATAGGGAAAAACAGAATGGTTTTAGGCTAAAACTTTTTCCAGCGAAACTTGTGGAGCGATGAGTAATAGCATCAGAACACAGGGTAGTTTTACCCTAGATTTACCTTTAATATAAGACTACCCGAAACATTACTCTAAGAGATGTAATTACTCTAGAAAAGGGTAATTACACTAGAAACGGCAGCACTGGTCAAGAATGAACACAATACAAACTCCGCAAGTGTTTGCAATGCGCCCGTTGACAAGTTACAACCTATCCTTCGTATCGTGGTTGCATCAGCTAACGTTCAGAACGCGTTATGGCTTTTCTTAATCACCACAACGCGTAGTGGTCAAATATCATGAAAGCCACGACGCGAATTTCGCTTTGTGCCCGTTTTGAAACGACCATAACGCGTTGTGGTCGTTTTTTTCGCTGAACGGTCGATTTCGGTCTTTGAGTCTGACATGTATAATGATTTTTTAATATTCTGTTACAGTTTCTCAGTGCCATATATTCAGCGCTGTCTGTCTTTGTAGAACTTTTAGCAGCCAAGAAGCCATCTTGTAAAATTAAGATTGAAGATCTAATACAATAAACTGTCTTGCCTGATTGATTGGCTGACTCACAGGCGTCAATGATTGAAATGTGATAAGCAGACTTATCACAGAAAAATAAAGTACTGTATTGCGTTGGAAGAAGGACGTGGTGTGTGTGGTCTTTTAAGAAAAATTCGAATTATCAAAAAAGTCAAATATTTTACACCTTACAAAATGTAAAGGTTCGATTCTCAATTCTCTCGTAGAATATTAATTAATCTGTAGTTGTAATTAATTAAAAGTATTATATTCTGTGCTGTTATTTTTGTATTAATTTAGTCTTCACTATTTTNATTAGGTTGGAAATCAATTATTTCTGAGTTATATTTTCTTTGTCTGGGTTGTTTTTATAATTTTTATACAATTAATAGGTTTTATATTTCATATTTAATAATAATTTAAAAGTCTATAGGTCTGTATAAAAGCTAGCAGATTAGCCTAGCGTAGGTCTGTTAAAACATCAACAGCAAACATTAAGATTATATCATTTTGTACTTCTAACCTGTAAACACGATCATATTATAGTGTGTAGTTTATATTTAGTTTATATAGTTTGTCTTTTTTTCATTTTTTTGATGCTAGTTAGAGTATTTTCTTATGTGCATAGAAATACGTTCGATATTTCGCAGAAATTAAAATAACTTTTAAAATAGTACAGTAGAAAGCTACCTTCTCAAGGTATTTTTTAACTGTCTTGTTTGCATATAGTTTGTCTATAGTTTGCATTCTCATGGCGTACACTAACTGTGTACCAAATTTCAACTTTTAACTCCTAATCGTTTTTGCTCTGGGTTTATTATTATCATTATCATTATATCAACCCATTTCGATTATATTCGATTTGCTAACAGGTGGGTCTATTTCTTTTAACTGTAGCCGAGAAAAGCACACAACTCTATGCAGGATATTTCGATGATGTTTTATATATGTGGATCGGTGTTTAACTTTACATTACTTGGACTAATCAATTTGTTTTAATCGTTTTTTTTTTTTTTGGGGGGGCCCTTATGCCAAAGTGGTATTTTTGATATGCAGCAACTGACTTAGTCGCTGCCCACCAAAAATGTGTAATGTTTTCGTGATAAAATATCAAAATAGTAGTAGCCCGGGACGCCCCCTAGTAGGCGTTTTTTTACAAATTCCCATGAGGCACGATTCCTTTAACTTTTTTGTTCCTATCAATATGTTCTACAGCTCTGTTAAAGTTCCAATCGCGTCATACGGATCTATATTTCTATCTATTAAACATTCTAAAAAACTTTTAAATAGTTTAATTTGTTTATTTACCTTCGGTTGTAAACCTCGATTTTAAATATATCCGCCATGTTTTCAACAAATTCCCCGTGAGTCAATGCGCGACGTTTACTGACTTGTGAGTCACGGGATGTTGTAAACATGCGGAGCAAGGTTAATCTAGGCATATAATAAGGCAAGGCAAGGCATATAATAATTATTTATACCATTCCGTGGTAAAAATAATAAATTCATATAAATAATAAATTTGTATTACAAATAAAAATAATTTATTGTTAATTTAAAATCATCGCTAGGGCGCCTTTAGTGCACGTTTTTGGCATACCGTTACGCAGTCCGTCGTACGGACGGACTGCTGACACGCGTTCAATGGGTTGTATAGATACATAATTATATAATTTACTATAAAGAATCTAATTAAAATTATATTATCAAAAGTAAGATAACAATTAAATATCGTATATAATTACCTATTATTGTTTTATTTTAAAATGTAAAATTCAATTAGAACTTACCTGAGATCATGTTAATAATGTTAATTAAATTTTTAATATTTAATGTGCTGTTCTATATTTAATTTGCATTTAATTGATTAATTTATGCTCAATAATTTTGTAAAATTGCCACCTAATTATTCAGGCGATTAACTGTCATAATATCCCTAAAACGAAAGACCAGAAAACCCTAAAAGCACCCCAAAAGATAACTTTTAATAAGTATATGGAGAATGTTGTAAGGAAAATGTGTCGTCCGAGGGATACCCGCCTCTTACCCGTCGCCGGCCGTTCTCGGCCACAGCGACACTCTGAAATTCAATGCCCGGTCAATTCCAGCGGTCGGACACTCCAATTGTTGTAGTTATCTGGACCCTCCTCTGACCCGTCGGACCGCATTACAGCGCTCCGACAATAAATAAATCAACTACTGTATTGAAATGTTGATTAAAATTTTTTTACAGTAAATTTCAATTGTAGTTTGTATTTATATTAAGTCTCTCTGCGAATTTGTTTCTACAACAACTTTGTCTCCAGAAATTCTATTTTGTAATGAAATCTTACACATTTTCTATTATTTTAACCGTAAACATAATATATTTTGTTGTGGATACTTGTATAGGTTTATATATGGTTAATGAGTGTCTTGTGTATCAAAATGCATACTAATAACAAAGTCTCATTCTGATGCTAGAAGTGTCATTTTAATGTAATCAGTAGCAGTGTAATTAGTCTCTGTTATCTCTACTATTCTATTTGAGATATTAATTCGAACAATTTTCGGGAGAAGAAGCTCATTTATGGTTTTTTACAATAAATAACCAATAAAATTTATCTACAAAAACAATACAATCTTTAATAAAAATAAATTCGAAATACGAATATCTTTTTGCATAATGTATCGAAGCTTTTATAAACTGTACTTGACTAAGTTGTCCTATATCAAAGCAAAATATTAAATGGAGAATAATTATAAACAAAATATTTAAATACTAGAAATAAAATCAAATGCTTTTAAGCAATTTACATAATACACTTATTAGTGAAGGTCGCAGGTGCAGTTTCAGTCATGTGACTTCAAGACAAACACTGAAATCAATCGTTTGCGTAATATTCTATTCAAAAATATTCTCTCATTTAAGAAAATCTGCATTTGGTTTATTTAACAAAATATTTCGCAATAAAAACACAAAATATGATCTTAATCGGCACCTAAAATTCTTCGTATTTTCATTATGCTCTTCGATAGTTAATAGTAAAAGATGTATCCAGGTTGTACGAATGATAGTTTGTGCTTTGTTTGTTTTCTACGACCAGTCCTAACTCCCTTAGAGATATTTGGAATTAAAATTATGTATTGCAATTGTAAGAAGTCTCACGACAAGTGGAGACATCTGCCAAAGTTATATCCTTTGTACCAAACTGCTATAGAGGTATTTATGTGGACTAACATAATTCTTTCTGTTCAAGAGATAACAGACAATTTGGTTTGTGTCGGATGGATCCAAATGTTCTCTAATAATCAAATGTTAGTAAAATTTATTATAATTACATTTTTGATTTTTGTAGCTTTTCAATTTAGTTTGTTTAAAAGAAAAAGACTTTATTTTCCTAGAAATAACAGTGGATACGAAGAAGAAGAGAAAATAGAATATAATATTCAAATCATTTTTATAGCTGGTCTTACACTTTTATTTTTTACAATGATCACAGTTGTTACCATAATTGATTTATTTTTGTATCCTACTTTAAAACGAATAACTGATTCAAAATTTGAGTTTAAATTTTGTAGTCTGAACATCACATTGATGTGCATTTACGGAATTGGACAATTAGATTGTTGTATTCTTGTAATAAGTGCAGGTGCCGTTATGCTGTCAAAGAGATTCAAGTATTTATCAGATGTTGTTGATGAACTGACAAAAGAAGAAAATTTTCTCAAAACTAAAATCGAAACTTTGATTCAAACTCATTGGGATTTATGGACTTATATACAAGAATTAAATCTAGTATGTGAAGATTACTTCCCAGCAGTATACTGTTTTGCAATATATGAAACATGTTTTTTTGTCTGCGCATTCTTTTTTTTCGAACTTGATGTTTTCATGCGTTTTGCAATCTTTATTCTTTTATTAGCTTTTATCGTGGTTTGTACAGTTGCGACTTTTCAAATATCTCGATTTACATCTTCGGTGAGTTAAACTTAAATCTGTTCTATCTTGTTAAGTAAATAAATATAGAATAATTCTTGAAAAATACAAAATTGAAATTTTTATAAATAAGATTTCAACAGCATTTATAATATATTTATACACACTACTGTAAATTTATTAGTTATTCCATGTTACGATTTTGTTTTTATATCTCATTTTTTTTCCTCTAAAGCATTAAACTTTTTATGCATCTCTGCTTTCGCTTCGATCATACTTTAACGTAATCTTTTTAAAACGACAAATAACTTGATATTTGTCTTTAACTTACTACAATATTTGAATCTGATAATTTTACAAATTAGAATATGATATCATTTGATAAAAAGATATTGTCAAAGTATGTTCGAAGTAAATGTGAAGCAAACTTATCAAAGTAAACCTATCGAACAAAATTTATTAGGTTTGGATTTACAATCACATTTTCTTTTTTTTCATTTTTATAAATTTTAATATTATATATAACAATTTATATGCAAATTTTGTAATTGTTTTTTTGTGAAATTAATTTTAATTTTTGAAGTTGTATGAAAAGTTCGTTGAAATCGATAAATTGTGTTCCGCTGATCTGCCTTTAGAAACAAAACTGAAGGTAATTCAAATTACTGTAATTTAAACCTTTTCAATTGGTGTTTTAATTTAATCTACTAAAAATAATTTTGTCTTTAAAAAAAAGATGTTGAATTTCATGAAAAGATTTGGTAAAACTCCATTTGGAGTAAACGCAGGCGGATTCTTTTATGTTAAGAAAAACTTCTTCATTCGAGTAAGTTTATTTAATACATTCTGTTATACTTTATTTAAGTTGTGGAAATATCTTTTATAACTGCACGTGCAGAAGAATTCGTAATAAAAAAATCGTATTTAATACAAAATTCTCTTTTAGTATATATGTTAGGCTCAAAGACCGAAATCGGTCATGGAGCGAAAAAAAAAGAACGACTACTACGCGTTGTGGTGATTAAGAAAAGCCATAACACATTCTGAACGTTAGCTGATGCAACTACGATACAGAATTATACGACGCATAGTGGTTTGTAACTTTAAAATGTGGATTATAGGCTCAAAACATTTTTATTTATAATTTCTGATGCCGAACAACGTTAGTTCTACAAGTTTTTCTAGAAATTTAATTTTCATTCTTAAAAAAAATTCAAAGAAATAAAATATATGGAGAAAAATACACCTTTGTGTCTTTTGTTTTCCTAAAAAGTGCTATAGGTCTAATTAGGTAGGTGCTTGATATACACTCACTGCCAAAAGTTAAGCACGGAGCAGTAAACTGCGAAAAAATTGACAAATAAAACTGTGATTGACACAAAATGAGGCCGGAAAGTAGCAAATATGTTTATGCATGAAACAACACAAAGAATTACATAGAAAGATGAAAACAATATTGAATTCTCATAAAGTATAAGATGAAATCATATTGGAATCATTAACAAAACAATGTTTAAATCCAAAACAAACAAACAAAACCGACATTAATAGGGTAAATGGTCACACCTCATCCTTACACAAAGTTTACAGCATGTAACCATGCTTTCCATGAGGTGATCAACCACTCCAGAGTGAAATAAGTGCCATTTCTCCTGTATAGCAGTTTGCAACTCTGAGAGTGGCAGGGGGTGGAAAACGTGCACACACAGCACCGCCAAGGGCATCCCAAAGATTCTCAATGGGATTGAGGTCTGGCGAGTATGCTGGCCAATCCATATGCGTGATTCCCTCAGTCAAGGTAGTCGTCGACGAGGGCAGCTCTAAGGGGTCGTTTGTTATCATTCATTAAAACGAAAGCAGGACCAACTGCTGCAGCGTACAATTTCACAATGGGTTTGAGGACTTCATTCCGATACTGGACAGCTATCACAGAACCCCCTCGATAAATGTGCAGGTCGGTGTGATATCCCAACGAAATGCCTGCTCACACCATAATGCTTTCACCTCAGAATGCGTGATACTCGATGATGTTCTGGGGATGATTGTGTGCGCCTTTTTTTCTCCATACTCCTACATGCTTGTCATCTGGCTCCAGGGAAAATCGCAACTCATCCGTGAACGTAATGTTGCCCCAATCAGACACAGTCCAATTCACATGTTGCCAACACCACTTTAATCGTGTGCCTCTGGATTGGACGGATAGTGGAACACAAACTCGTGGTACTCGGGCATACAGTCCGTTCATGTATAGACTTCGGCGCACAGTAGTAGCAGATATCGTTTTACCAATGACTGCTGCAACCATCGACGTCACATGTGTAGAGTTGCTTTTCAATTCTGCTTGGCTACAACAGCAATATAGCAATCTTCCTCAAGGGTCATAACCCTTGGGGAACCGGCCATAGGTCTTTGGACAACTGTTTGGCTTGTTTGGAATTGTTTCCATAACTGTGAAATGACGAAATGATGAACACCAAAGAAAAGGAGCAACATTTGTGATTGATTGGCCTGCTTCAAGGCGTCCCACACACTGCCAGCGCTCACTGTCTGTCATTCGTCTTCTGGAAGCCATAGAAACATGTCAATCACGCACAGTAATTATACGACAGTTCTCCACACTTTTTCTCGGCACTTACATGCAACTCCTCTCACACTTCAGAAGGCTGGCTTCTTATACGACTGCCTGTTTTGCATATTTCAGGACACATAACCATGATTGATAGTAACGTAACATATTTGCATACTTCCATCTACCTCTGCAGTGAATTGCAGCCTCTCAAATGCTGATTGCTTTCCAGACATGAACATTTTCTGCTCTGTGCTTAACTTTTGGCAGTGAGTGTACTTAGCCTACTATACACGATAAAATAAAAATCAGCTGCTAAAGTTAAAAACCACCGTGCGACGGATTTATTATGATTAAAAAGCCACCACACGTTCTGGATGTTAACTAATAACGAGCGATGATGAAATAAGACCGTTTTATTCATTATGATTTATTTATCTTCAATCATCTTATATACGCAGGTAAAAAAATTATTCAAAATATACAGAAATTTAACTTGGTTACATTAAAACAATATTTAATTATTCGTGCATTTTATGTTCTTTGAGCAAAATTTGCAGTTTTATCCATACAGTATCTTTTACATTGACACATTATAAACACTTGCTACTTCCAGATGTTAACATGGATACTGAGCGAAGTGTTAATAAAGTTGAGGATGCGTTCTGAATGTTAATAAAGTTACTAGAAGTTGTAAATTTATTACGAGCGTAACGTCGATTAAGAAGACTTTACTTATTTCCTAACTAATAGAACCTGATGGATTAATGCAAAACAGCTAAAACATTTCTAGGAGCTGCACGTCCCCTATCAACATTAGGCACCCTAACTAAAACAATCGAACCAATTTAAACTGCAAAAAATTACCCTAAATTGAGAAAACTCTCCGAGAATAATCAGAACAATTCTTAATGTTTTTGAAAATTTTAATCACTAAAATGTCTTAGGATTTTAGGCTTTATCAGAGGTATTAATTTACATCTGATATGGAGAGTGCCAATGGCTCATGGCACGAAGGTTGAGAAAAGCGAAATCCTACTCGGGTGTAATATACAGTATTACACCCGAGTAGTACCTCGATTTTCGTTGACTTCGGCTATCGTCGGTTTCGGATTTCGCCGATTGTTTTAGGACAGATATATTATCGACGAAAACCGAAGTATCGCTGCACAGTGTACATCCATGTATCTAGCATCAATATACATTATTTCTATAGCTTCTGTTGTCTTATCCTAAAACCCTCCAGTTATAGGGAAAAACAGAATGGTTTTAGGCTAAAACTTTTTCCAGCGAAACTTGTGGAGCGATGAGTAATAGCATCAGAACACAGGGTAGTTTTACCCTAGATTTACCTTTAATATAAGACTACCCGAAACATTACTCTAAGAGATGTAATTACTCTAGAAAAGGGTAATTACACTAGAAACGGCAGCACTGGTCAAGAATGAACACAATACAAACTCCGCAAGTGTTTGCAATGCGCCCGTTGACAAGTTACAACCTATCCTTCGTATCGTGGTTGCATCAGCTAACGTTCAGAACGCGTTATGGCTTTTCTTAATCACCACAACGCGTAGTGGTCAAATATCATGAAAGCCACGACGCGAATTTCGCTTTGTGCCCGTTTTGAAACGACCATAACGCGTTGTGGTCGTTTTTTTCGCTGAACGGTCGATTTCGGTCTTTGAGTCTGACATGTATAATGATTTTTTAATATTCTGTTACAGTTTCTCAGTGCCATATATTCAGCGCTGTCTGTCTTTGTAGAACTTTTAGCAGCCAAGAAGCCATCTTGTAAAATTAAGATTGAAGATCTAATACAATAAACTGTCTTGCCTGATTGATTGGCTGACTCACAGGCGTCAATGATTGAAATGTGATAAGCAGACTTATCACAGAAAAATAAAGTACTGTATTGCGTTGGAAGAAGGACGTGGTGTGTGTGGTCTTTTAAGAAAAATTCGAATTATCAAAAAAGTCAAATATTTTACACCTTACAAAATGTAAAGGTTCGATTCTCAATTCTCTCGTAGAATATTAATTAATCTGTAGTTGTAATTAATTAAAAGTATTATATTCTGTGCTGTTATTTTTGTATTAATTTAGTCTTCACTATTTTATAAATAAATAAACTGCATCTTAAATTGTTTCGTCATAGATTATTTTTTACTGTATTTGAAAAATATTATTTATGGATTGCTTATTTAATATATATAATTATAGAAATTGTAGTATGTAAAATAAATAAAATATATTATATATATTACTCAGCGCTTTCCAAACGCGCGAATCAATATACATGTTTGTTATGGTTCTGCGAATTAATCGTTTATAATATAACATTTTTAAAAACCTAATAAACTAAAGTCACTGTATATTATATAACGAAATAGAATTATAAATTATTGATGATATATTTTATGTATTAAACGTAAGATCGAGTACATTTCTATTAATTAATTAATTAATTAACTCAAAAACTTACGCTCTCAAAACCCTCGAGCTCACACTTATCTACAAAATTAAGTTATTCGCTATTTTGTAATAGATAAAAATATGATATTTTTTAAAGTACTTTTTATAACAAATGGCGCCACACGGAGTTTTAAACGTTGGCAAAAAAGTTAATCAACTCTTTGCTGCATCTTTTATTATTGAAATTTAACTGTTAAAAACGTAAGACTAACGGCTGTAAATATATCAGACTGTTTCAAAATTAGTCAGGGGTCTATTTTACTTTGAAAATATTACAAGATTTTTTATAAACTTAATTAACCCCTTTTTAAAATGCACTTACAGCTTGTATAAATGTTTTGTCAATGTCATTTTGTATATACAGAAACAATGTTTAAAAATTATTTATTGATACACTTGAGGCAAAATTCATTTGTTATTTAGTTTCATGTATGATAATAAAGGTAAAACATCGAACAAACAAGAGAGTTTTTTCAAAACCAATGCAAATTAAATGGCTTTTATGACTACGACCTTACATAAATATGTTTTAATGTTATGCTAAATGGAAAAAATAAAGTAATTTCCTATACATTCTACAATCTTAATCTTATTACTAAATGACGATAATAAGAAAAACCTCGTAAAAATTTTTCAGTACTTAACGTATGCATCTATTGTTCTTAGTTCTTAAAGAAGATTTCAGTATTACATGTATTTTTGCGCAAGATAGTATCAATCCTGCGACCTATAAAGATTTTGAGAATCGCTGTGCTAGCTTGTTACGCTCGGCTTTTCCGTGGTTTATAAAGTACCTCTGGGAGTAGTAATTGTTTTATCCGGAATTATTAACTGTTAATTTCAAAAATACATGTGGTAAAATACGTTTTAAGAAAATTATCAGGATGTCTATAACTACGTGAAGATTATGTTCTCGTTAATTGCCAGCGTATATAAAAGTTATTAGAATTAGTTTGGTTTATGTGCTTACGGCAATGCGATTTTCCGAGAGGAATGCCACCCGGGAGGAGTTTTATGGAAAAACTACCTCTATTTACGTGTTACTAACTTGAAAGAAAAAGAAAATGAAAAAACTCTACGTACCCGATCCGAAATCTATAAATCGAGACATCAGTTTAGTGAAAAAAGTGTGTATACTTTTGTTACTGATTTATATTCCAGAAATACATATCTCACCTGAAAATAAGCTGCTACCTCGTATCATATGAAGTCGCCAACTCGAAGTTTAACAACTAATGATGTAACGAATATTCGGTTACTATTCGGTATTCGGCTTATTCGGCCTATGTTTCGCTAATCGGCCGAATACCGAATACCTAAACAAAGGAGTAAAGAAAAACAAAAACATAGTAAATTAACCATTTTGATAATTTTTATTAATGTTGAACATACATTTCGAGTTCGAAAAAGCGCAATTTTTTGCTTATTTATGTAAAAGATCAAAGGAAAAGTAATATAACTAAGTTATTTTTTTAAGAGATCAAAAAAGGTAACAAATCAAATGAAAACTATTTACTTATTATGTCGTTTAGTCATCTATATACTCGAATATAAAAGAACAGTACTGATAGGATAATTAACGCAGAGCCAAAACTACTGATGCTAGAAACTTAAAAATTTGAGGGCGCGTTCCTTTTCTAAAGTTTAGGCATGCTAAGAAAATATTTTACGAAATTCAACCTTAAAGGGGTGAAAAAGGATAAAAAAAATTTCTATGAAAATTTTTACTGCGTGAGCACATTAGATCGAAACTTAGGTCATAAATGTGAAAAAATAATAATTAATAATTTGTAAAGCGTTTTTATGAAATCATCCCTTATTATAAACTTGAAAATTAAATTAAGTTTTTGTTTTAATGTAGAAAACTATTTATTATAACGGAAGTTCCAGACAGCTTGGTAGCCTGAACGGCCCAGGCTTTCGCCCGTGCACGCTAAGTGACTTTCATTATAAGCATTTAGCTTTCCGAAGCCTATGAGAACAATTATTTGGCATTGACGGCCGCAATTTCGCGCCAATAAGCTGCCTCGACTTGTTCGATTGTGTTATCAAGTCAACTTCATATTTATTTTCACATTTTCACTTTGCGTCCTTCTCTGTTCTTTTTCCGTTATTTACACATTTAGGTCATTTCATTGTTATCCACATTTGATACTATCACTTATCACATACTGCCGTGATGTTCACGTCTGTCTGCTACAACTGTCAACAATTAACGTGATTGGCAAAGAGTAGTACAGCGGGCCAATAGAGAGCAGGGTGCGCGATCCTTGCCGTAATGTGGTTTGCGCGCCAAATTTCGTACGTACGTTAATCAAGTCGAATAGTTTGGCCGAATATTCGGCTATTCGGCCACGCTCCTGGCCGAATATTCGGCTATTCGGCCACGCTCCTGGCCGAATATTCGGTATTCGGCCTGAGGCCGAATGTAAGCTACTATTCGTTGCATCATTCGTTATTAGTTTTGAAAGGAAGTCGACAAAATCTGTAACTTTTTAACTATTTAAATTAATGAAATGGTGCTTAAACTTTTCGATTGGCAAGCCAAGTTGTGCATAAGCCTGTTAGATAGGCCACAAATATTTCATATTTTTTCACACGACATGACTGTTTTTCCTTGGGTTCTGTGTCGTCTACGATGAGTTCGCTCGATCCGGGGCGTACAACACGGCTTTGTCGACTAGGTGAATCAGAATGACACGGCTAACAAGGGCCGGCGATGTCTGCAGTTTTCCTCGGTGAACTCTTACAGAAGCGCCCACGTCCGAGTTAACAGAACTTTGATTCAAGCACCTCACAACCTTGAATCACGTGCTTATTTAAGTTTTAACCCCAAAATTTAATTGGTCTTTCGTAGTCACGTGGTGACAATTGACACCTGTCGAGTAGGGCACGGGAGGTCACCTTCTCGATTTAACACGACTCCTCTCTACCGCTTTTATCTCGACTTTGGTTCTTTCTACACAATTCATCCTTTGTTTAAAAATCCAAGAGAAAACTTTGATTATTTTAACGAGACATTTAATTCTTCCTATTCGGGTTGGAAAAGGAGATTTTTAAGATCTCGTTTAATTATCTCCATTCGGACCTCCAAGTCGACCTTGATCCGGATCCTCACAACGCCAGACACCGAAAAGGCTTTATTGTCCAGCTAGGAGTCGTTTAGTTTGATTTTAAATTCTATACTTGCTTTAGCTATGGACAGTTAAAGCCAAAAGTGTTTTCTATATTAAAAACTGGAAAAGTTTTCCTCGAATATTTTTTTTGAGGAAATTTAACTGTAAAATTAAGGCCGTTCTACGAGCCATGACATCGCTTTACCTTTTCCTATATAGTTCTTCAAAAATGGTGTGATGAGTCCTTAAATTTTATCCATTATAGATACTTAAAAAAGCCAGCAGCGAGATGCTTAACATTCATGGCAGAATTTGGTGGCACAATCTGTTATAATATTTTATTAAAAAGAACTTTTTATATAATTAATTATTATAAAATGACGAAAAGCTTAATTTTGAAGATAGAGATAGGTTTTATAAAAAATTATAAATGCTAATAATGAGTAAAGTCGTCATGAATTAAGTCAGATTCAACTAGAGATATGACACGTCCCCCTTTATCTCCTCACTCCGTCGACATTTAACCACCAAAATTTAGTAAAATCAATCGCTTTATTACACAAACCTCCTTGCAAATTTCAGAAATTTTTGAGAAAGAGCATGGAAGTTATTAAGCTTCAAAGAGGGTGAATAAAATTGTGCCCCAATACACACATAAACACTAACATCCATACATATAGCAAAACCTTACGATCATTTTTTTCATTTCTTGGCATTTCAAAGTCTACAGAGTCCAAACAAAATGAAAAAATTTGGGGGGAGTCATTTTTTGACCGATCGCCATACTTTCCCTCTGTTATATATAATAGAGCCGGGAAAGTAAAATAAATAAATAAATAAATGAAAAAAAAGAAAATAAATAATAATTCTTAATATTTATTTCCATTTTTTTTTCAAGAAGGAATTTATATATAATTTTAAAATAATTTTAACAATTCACAAAACAATATTGTAAGACATAATAATTGTTACCTTTTATTTATTTTAACTTTGTAGAAAATTAAACAATGGATCAAATTATACTGCAGGGTTTAGATGGAGAAGTAATAATTTCATCTGCATATTTTATTACTTCCAGCAAATTGTTTGAATCGATGGTGAGATATTACCCACAGACAGTGATTCCAAATATTTATTTTCCTGTTACAGTTAAAATAATTCATCAAGTGGTAAAGTAAGTTTTTGCATTAAAAACTATAAACATTTTATTTGTATTTTTTTCTTTTTTGGCTGTTTCCTTTTTATGGAACACTAAGAGGAGTTTTATTTTACACATTCATATGGGTCGCTCAGGCTCACAATCGGAACGATCGCGTTGTGGAAGACTGGGATTGATAATTAAAATGACGACCCCGAAAAATTCCTGTAGTGTTTTTGACAGCAGGGATTCGATTCTGGGTTACTCCGCGCAGTAGTCTAAAGCCGTAACCGTAACTAATATTGGCAGTCTTTATTGGGCTGCAATTTGAAAAAAATGTTATATATCTGTAAATCCACACTGTCAGTCTAAATGTCCTTCCTTAGCCTCAAGAGCGAAATTACATAAATGAAAATCGATACCAGATATGGAAAGCTTACGGGCAGGAGGCCTTGATTAACTAACATATATTATATAGTTAATCAAGACAAGATTTTATATACTTATATAGTCTACTATAACTGTATAAAGATTTTTGAATTGAAATCATGTGACTTTCGATCTGGACAGAAAGTCATACAATTACAGTTCAAGAATTTTCTCCTGAACAGAGTGACATAAGTGACCGGCATGACTCTTTTGTTACCAGGAAAAATATGATGTACAAGATACTACTAATTTCAGGTCGAGAATATAGGCCTATACATTAAATAAATTAAGAATATAATTAAAAATTGCAGCCCGGCATTGTGACGATGTCAAAATAAATTTTGCTCGTTTGTATTTATTTTTGTATAAAGTTGATTTGCAATTTATGAAGTTGTCATTTTTTTATATATTTTAATGTATTTATTTTTCAATTTAATGTTGTAATGTGGCTTTCTTCCTATCACATCGATTAGGTTCATGGAAGAAGGAAGAACAGAATTGACATCTTTAGATAATGAAAAAGATGTGTATTATTTCAGTAATAGTTATAAAATATATTATTTGAGAAATTTTTGTAATAAATACATCTTATCGTTCATTAATAACGAAAATATATTCAATATTTACGAGTTTGCATGCAACGTTGCCGATAACTATATTAGATACGAATGTTGGAAATGGTTCGACGAGGAATGTGAAGAAGTGTTTAAAAAATCAAATTGTAGTAACTGTAATAAATATACAATAAGCACTCTCGTATCTCGTCCCATATATAAATGGATGAATGAAGCAGACGTGTTCCGTACTGTTTATTACTGGGCTGAGACGAAAGTAAACAAATCATCCAATCTGCGAACAATTATAGAACTATATCTACCGAAAATCAGATTTCTAGCAATACGACCGGAATGCTTTCAGAAGTAGCAAAACAACGTTATGTTTTGCTACTTCTGAAAAATGTATTGACAGACGAAGAAATTCAACTAATAAGAGAATCATTGTCATCCACGTCTACATCAAATCTTCCTGCTTTTATTTGCGAAAATAGAGAAGAGAGAAGAAATACATATTACGAAAACTTGTTTTACTATATGAATCGAAGTTCTATGAAAACTGATGAAGATATTCTTGTTACTACTAATACCCGATTTATATGTGAAATATTTGCAGAACACAGTTGCTTTCTTACCGACATTCTTCTTCCCATAAGACATTCCAGAGAAGAAAATATTTGTGTTTTCGTGAATGCTACTGTTAAAAAAACAGGAAAATCATTTTTTCAAACATTTTTCTGTGATGGCGAGGGACAAGTAAAATGCTCATCACCTATATATTTAATGAAATATTTATTTTATCGATTTGAAGCTCGGATTGCTAAGTATATTCTTTCACAAACCAATATAGCAGTAAAGAAGGACAGCCATTATCATTCTCCAGAAGAACAGGATAAAACCAAAAATGACAAAAATGTAAATGAAAAGAACAATCAAAATTTTTATTTTGAAGCAACTCTTTACTTTTAATACAGGATATAGATAATAAAATATATTATTCATAAACCGTTATCTTATTCTTTGATATTTTACTTTTTCTGTCCTGGACCTTTTTAATCATATCTATGAGAGGTGGAAAATCTAGTTCTGTTTCTGGAACTAGAACTGTTGGAACTGTTCCTCAGAGGAGGACCCGCTCTAGCTGTTACGTCGCCCCGGACAAATAAACAAATTGCCGCCCCTTAAGAATATATACATATTAAATATATATGTATATATATATATTTTAAAATAAAGGTGCATATTTTTTATTTTATAAATTTAATTTTTGAATTGATGTTATAAAACTTTTAGGTGATTTTGAAATACAGAATACAGTTTTGGTTATACATTGGTTAGCATTATTACAATTATAGCAATTCTAATAATGCTAATAACCAATTATTTACACTTCCTGCAAATGAATAAATTATCTTTATCCTCTTTTTTATTTTTTTATTTTTTCACTAGCTTATTTCTAAATGAATCTGTGATTAAGTAACTCTTTTAAGAATTAATTATATAGCAAATGAGAAAATGTTATATTTATTTATATATTTATTTATTTATTTTATTACAAGGTACAAATACCCTTTGTACGGGGAACAAAAAAGGAAAATACTGAACAAACATTGTCCATAACAAACAAATACAGTAAATATAATACAGTAAAAAGGTAATCTCTATACAAAATCCAAATCCATATATGCAAAAACCAATCTATTATACAACAATAATCATAACATTTACACAACTTCCTGTGCATAATATAACTACAGAGAAAATGTTATAATTCTGATGATATCAAACTAATAAATCATGACCCCATTTCTCTATAATCAGACTTAAATTTATTGTTTGATTTATTTCAAAAGACCAACTTAAAAATTAATGCTCATAAACCCATCACTATATGCTTTACTAACATAAAGCACATAGTTAACTAGCAATTGCTCCTTCCTTCCTTTGATATTTGTGCTGATCACATAAAATATATCTATTCTGTGAACAATTTGGTGTTATTTTTGATAGTAAGCCTTCATTTAAAAATCACATGGACANTTTCTCCACTCGCTACAGTTATTGGTATCGTTAGCAATATTCTTAAAGAAATAGTAAGATTTGGGGCAAAATTTAACTTTGTAATTAAGCTCAGTACATTGCTTAGGCTTTCTTTTTTGCTTAAAAGAGCAGATACTGCTGAAATTTCCTCCGCTAATTCTACCCCATTTATGTCAACAGAATCACCATCAGTTAAAATGCATTCTAAATTCTTACAGTGTTTTAGTAGCATTTCTTTGGACATGATATTTAAATCGTATATGTTATATAAGAATTGAAAATAGTTACTATGATTACTAAAATGTTCAAATCTAGCTTCTAGTGCATTTAGTGCTTGATCGATTGTAAAATAAAAAAAAATCTATTTTATATTTTTCTTTTGGATCTTTGATGGCTTCATCTTGTGCTTCGTAAAAGTTCCTTTTCCTTCTTCTAATGTGGTGATCCAAAATTAGCCTCCACATCAATTTCGGTAGCAAGCTCTTTTGTATCAATAATAGTTTCATCGAAGGACGAATCCGATCGAAGATTCTTAAAAAGTATTTTGCAGTTTTGTAAAAGATCAAGTGCAAATACTAGATCAAAATCTTTTGTTTGCATCAACTCGCTTATTGGATTAATGAAATTTAGTATTTTAAGCCAAATAACTAATAAACACAAAACTTAAATTGTTTGATACAATTTAGTAAACCCGAGGCCTCGTCTCTCATTAAATTATCAATTTCTTGGTTTTCGTAAATGCTTAGCGAGGGGTCGTATACATCTCCCAAATGAAATCTCAAAGGCTTTAAGGTCTCTATCCTACTCTCCCATCTAGTGTCTTTCAATGGTTTCAAAGTTAAACCTTGAACATGTTTTAACTTATTGTCCATCGAAAAGTAGATGCCGAAAAAATAAATATATTTTTTGGACCGTGTTGAAGAAATTAGCGGCTTTCAAGGATGCTTTTACCATATTATTAAAAACAAGATTGAGAGAGTGGCTACTACAAGGAACATAGAATGCTCGCGAATTTTATTGTTTAATTCTAGATTGCACTCCTGCTTTATCGCCCCTCATATTGGACCCGTTGTCGTATCCTTGCCCTCTGATAGCCTGCAAATTTAAACCTAAGTCATTAAGTTCTCCAATTATAATATCAGACATTTGTTTTCCTGTGGATCTTTCGATTGGTAAGAAGCCTAAAAAGCTTTCATTAATTTAATTAATTTTAATTTCAACATCAGCGTCAAATTTATTGATTGAAACATATCTGATTACAAGAGTCATTTGCTCTACGTTACTAATGTCAGGAGTACAGTCTAAAATTATGGAAAAATATTTTGATTTTTTTATTTCATCAATAATATGAGACTTTATACTTTGATGCAGCAGATCTATTATCTCGTTTTGTATATTTTTCCCGAGATAGTGAACTTTAGTCTCTTCTTTGTTAGCACTCTACGGACGTGCACTTCCATAACGGAATCAAATTGAGATAGCGACAAAACTATTTTTAAGAAATTACCGTTTTTATAATCAAACAACTTGTCGCTTGTACAGTACCTTGAAAAGCCAGACCATTTTACCAAGCATTTTAGTAATTGCTACGATTCGTAGAAGCACCTCGTTCCAATGATTTGTTTCGGCATTAATAATTCTTTGAGAGGCCTTAACTATAGTTTTGTAACACTTTAACCTTAGATTCATTTCTAGCCATGATTTTTGGGCCCGAATATGATTTTTGGAAATTTCATGCTCTTTTAAAGTTTCGCCGCGGTGCTTCCAACATTTAAAACCCTCCTTTGAAAGAGAATTAACTATACAGACGAAAATTTTGCTACAGAAGCAGTAAACGCAGTTTTGTGAAAGAGAGTACACTAGCCAGTCTCGTAAAACTTGTTCTCCATTGCTTAAAATTCGTGTAAAATAATTTACGCTAAAATGTCACAAGTCTCATTGGAAGGAAATTTGTAATTATGGAACGGTTTAGGTGGACGTTGTCTTACTAAAAATCTTCTTTCTGCGTCTCCTAAAATTCTTGGCCACAATGCTGGATCTGTACTCAAAGTTTGTAGAACGCTTTCTGAGGGAGTCACGTTAGTGTCAATTTTTTTCAATGCTTTCATCTGGTGATGATAGAGTCAAAGTGTCGTCAGTTCCAATTGATTTAGAAACTTCGTCCATTTGTTTGTCATCATCCTCTGACGATTTTGTATTTTCTTTTATAACCGGACTTGATGTTGGTTTCTCAGAGTTGTCATTTGTTTTGGTACAACTCTGGATATAAATTTTTAACACGCTCCAGCTTGTTTTTGCCTTTCGGCTTCCTTTTCCAGCCTTCTTTTTTTGTACTGGTAATCAGACAGTTTTCTTTGACCTTAGACATTCTGAAAGAGGCACGCACATAACTCAAATTAAACAATGTAAACTATAAAATAATATTTTAAAAAAAATAAAGATTTATCCTTGTTCTAAATAAGCTAAAACTGTAATTAACATAACTTCAAAATTATATTCTGTCAACGGACATAAAAATATTTATGGCTTACACATAATATTTTTCGTATCCTGTGAACATAAAGAAAGTCTAGTGTTTTCATATATGTATTTTATAATAACAAATATTTCAGCAAACCATAAATAGTCATTAAAGACAATTTTATAATTCTTGATTTTGAGATTTTATTCAGTTCAATTATTCAAATGTATTATTATAAAACGCGTTATATCAAAGCAATGAACTTCGAAAAACTTACCAGTATACAGTATTTTATTTCTATTTTTCTTACTTCTTTTTTCTCAGCAATTTCTTTAGTTTGTAATTCTTAAATTTGATATTAGAAGACAAAATTATCCTATTTATTTTTTGTTACATAGTGTCTTTGTAGATTCCTGCTTATACTTACAGTAAAATTAGCGTTGGTAGTCTTATTTGCTCTCTTTTACAAGTTCTTAAATACCATATTTCGATTTTTATTCTTTCTATTTCCTCTGATAACTTTTCATCCTGCATCTTCTCAAACACCAGAATATCGGCTGTTGAATTATTTCAAAATACTAAGTAATTATAATTGCCTTACAGTCCTTACTTCTAATTTATTTTTAATTGTGTGTACTTGAACATTACTCATAGGACTTTATACTGGTGTTTAAAAGTTTGACACAATAATGAGAGAGGGGTTAAATTTTCTTTTAAAATATTTTATTGTCGAGAATTTATTATATACTTAATATACAATATCTTATTTATTTCATTATTGTTTTTAATGGTTTGTAGTAATACTGCTGATGAGGGGGATGTTAGCCCGAAACACGTATAAGTGTACAGAAAAAATTACTACTTCAGGC